CCCAACAGCAGGCAGTAGTGCAACGAGTCTTCTGGGTGTGGATCGAGTCTTCCGTCGAACACTCTCTCCTTGCTCGACTGGCTTTCCGCTCCGGGAAGCGGTCCGCCAATCCCCTTTCGGGCAGCACGAACACCTTTCGGCGTCCGTTGTAGGCACTTCGACTCTGTCACACGCACGGTTTGTTGCCGCTCCCGAGGGATTAGCAACTTCCCGGACACTTCGGTTCCGTAAACCGATGGAGCGGTCGCTCCATGTCCAGCACGTTTCGCGATAACCGCACTTAATCCGCGATCTTTCAGGCAGTATTCCACTGATGGGACAGTGGCTCACACCTTCAGTTACTTGACGGCATCTCTGCTCCCATGCAGGTGTCCGCCAACTTCACCGCCAGGGGTGGCGACGGGTGAACGCCGCGTCCTGGTCAGTCGTTCGTCTATCTCTTTCCTGCGAAAGAGCCGCTTGCCCGTGCTGAGCAAAGCGGTTTTGTGTCCGGGCGACATCACGGACATATTTGTGTTTCTGTAGGCGCGTACCTTTCACGCAGTGGACTGGGAGGCGCTCGAATCCTCGTCTCCTGCTCTTCAGGCAGGTGCTAGACCGTCTCAGCTACCAGTCCGTGTTCTTCAGGCTTTGCATCGGTGCACAAAAAAAGGCCCAGTGTCGCGTGTGACACCGGGCCTAGCTGAAAGGCTTCAGGCTGAAGGCCTGCGTCACAAGCGCAAATAGAGCGCGGACAGGGAATTGGCCGATGGTTCGGCAAACTGCCTGCTCGGTTGATGTATACCGTTCTGGGATAAGCGTATATTTGCCAACATCGCAGTCTTGTCCTTTTCGATTCGCCTTAGGCGGATTGTTGTGTACTTGTTTAGACGTCGCCAGGACGAAATGGTTCGTTGTTTTTTTGTCGAACTATACGATGCGCATCAACCACGATTTATTTCATCGTTTTCCCGTTCTTGTGAAAATTCTTTTTCACTGCATCCATTGCCGGACGATGTCTTCCACTTCTTCGCCCTCCAAAGTCTCGTGTGCCAGGAGGTTATCGACCACGGCGGCCAGTGCGGCCCAGTGGTCTTCGCGGTCGAGCAGGCGATATAGCTCGCGGGTGGTTTGCTCGAGAAACGCCAATCGCTTGCGTTCGGGGGGCATCAAGTTCGCAGCGGCTTCCCAGGCCGAACGCCAGTCCTCAGCCCATTCGGCCACGAACCCCGGATGATAGGGCTCGCCGCTGTAAATCATTTCGGCCACCGGTCCGGCAAGCGCCACCAGCACGGCCTTCTCATGGAACTCCCGCTGGCTGAATCTCCGCAGAGGCCATTCCACTCGAATGTCAGCAAACCTTTCGGGGCCATCGTCCCACTCGGGGTCGATCGTCATTCGCCGCACCCGGGCCCCGACATAGATGGCCATGAAAGCATGGCCGGCTTCGTGATAGGCGGATATCTCAGACACGGTCGCTCACTCAGCCCGCGTTCAGACGCCAGATGGTGAAGTTCAGCACGCTGGCAAAGGTCACCCACGCCAAATAAGGAGACATTAACCATGCCGCAACCTTCGAGTGGTGGGCAAACGTGAATGTCGTGGCCACAATCGCCAGCCACAGCACAATGATCTCAGCAAATGCAATCCCTGTTTCGTGCATGCCGAAAAAGATCCACGACCAGACGATGTTCAAGCCAAGCTGCAGCGCAAACAGCGAAAGCGGAACGGCAGCCGCTTGAAAGCCCGCTGGCTTCCACACCAGCCACGCAGCGATGGCCATCAGAACATATAGCGTTGTCCACACGGGCCCGAAAATGTAATCGGGTGGATTCCACGACGGCTTTTCCAGCGTTCGATACCAGGTGTCGATCTCCGGCGTGGTGGCGACAGCACCCAACCCGCCTGCACCCAAGCAGATGACAATCAGAACGACTAGACCGACCCAGCGAGTGGTTTGTGTCATGGTGGAAAAACTTTCGAACGCGTCGCCCCGTTAGCGGCATACGATACTCAGTCTTTCGCCAGCGGATACCCGGCCCCTTGCCAGGCGAAGAGCCCGCCGGGGTGACGATACACGTTCGTGTAACCCAGCTCGCGAGCGAACACCGCCGCGTTATGGCTACGGGCGCACTTCACGAAGCCGCAGTACATGACGATGCGGCGATTCTTGTCTTCGCCAAGGAGAGCTTCGAAGTCCTCCTTCTGTCGGGCCCCCATCGTATCGTCGTTCCATTCATCGATGACCTCTTTGGGGAACTCGAAGTTCACCGCCCCGGCAATGTGTTGTTTGTTGTAGCTGTCTTCCGCTGGCATCGCGTCGACCAGGAGAAACTCTTCATCGCCGTCAATGAGTTCCTTCAACTCAGCGGTAGAGATCAACTGGTATCCACCGTCGGTGGTTTCGTTGTACAGCTTGATCGACGCCTCCTCAGTGTCGAGTTCGTGCTCGTACTTGCTGGTTCCGCAGCCGGTCATTGCCATAACAATAAATAGCAGGCAAGCGTGACTAGACAGCGTGATCAATCGGGAAATTTTCATGCTTAGCGATCCAATACCCACGAGTTCAGGCTGCGTGGGCTCACAGGGGTGATGCGATATCGTTTGTGAGCAGCGTAAACAACTGCCCACCATAGTAGCAGGCCCGCGTCGGTGAACAATTGCTGCTTCAGACTAACGTGATAGCCAAGGCCAAAGCAGCCGCAATGGATGTCGAGACCCATCCATACGCCATACGACAGTACACCGATAAACAATCCCAGTAAGACCAGGGCTGCAAGAGAGCCACCGCGTACATTGAATGCCAGAGCCAATCCTACAAGCAGCTCTGTCCCAGCCAGCAGCCACGCCGTGGGATACACGAGAGAATCGTAGACCAGTCCGAAGTCGCCCACGCTAGCTGCAAACGGTGGCATGTCCCACAGCTTCACAATGCCGGCGACAATGAACACCGCAGCGAGTCCAACTCTAGCGGCATGGCAGAGGATTCGCACAATCAAGAGCTTCATCCGAGTGCCACGCAGCGCCTGCTGCGATTCTCTGCGAACCGCCGCACTATCCTACCAGCGGCGTTGATACATCGCGTTCCACTGTGAGGCATCGGAGGCGGCGCCTGGTCCGGAGGTGTTTTCCAGGAAGCTGCCGCCAAACAGTTGCGAGTAGCTAAAGAGCACATCGGAATACCGACCAATATGGAAGTTGACGATGAAGTCGATTTCGTCACCCACATTATTGCCCGCCTCACCAGTCGCATCTCGACGAATGGCCACACCGCCTGCGTTGTACAAGGCGTCGCGACTTTCAGCTAACCAGAAGTGGTGATACTGCATCCAGATTGTGATCCAGGGGCGTGGGTAGAACAGGAGGTGGGCATTCGCATCATGAATATTCTGGCGACCTACCAAGTCGAGCCAGCCCAAGTAATAATGTCCAAAAGGATAGATTTGGTTGAAGGTGTGGTAATCGCCTGAGTCGGGGTCAGGAGTACCACTAGCATAGTCATAATACACCCAGAACGTAGGCGACCAACTCGACTCCTTAAAGTTGCGTCCGACTCCACCAGTTGCCGCTCCGGCGAAGAGGTCTTGCGAGTTCTGATTACCGAACTGCATCATTAACTCGCAATCCCACACGAAGCCATCATTGTCGCCGCAATTACGTGTTCCTAGAGTGTGCACTTCCGTAGGGTCACGAACGATTCCCTGTTGCACAACAGCGTTATTGTTTTGGAAGTAAAGATAATAAAAGTCGGTGAAGTGGCCCTTCTTTGGTTTGTGCGTGGCCCACACGCCGCCGAAGTCGCGGCTATCGTCCAATTGATCGAGCCCATCGGGGTCGACCGGGACGAAGGCCGAGTACCACATATCGAGATTCCACTTCTCACCACGGCTGAATAGCTTCACGCCGTCAAAAGTTCTTCGAGTATTGGCCCAGTCGAGCGAAGTAACCAAACGTTGCGAGCCGTACAGTAACTCTTGACGACCCACACGAGCGAACACCGCATTGCCGTTGTAGTCGAACAGGTTGACGTCGACGAACAGGTTAAGAGCATCGCCCAAGTTCACATCGATCGGCAGTGGTGCAAGTTCCGAGCCCAGGTTGTCGGCCCAGAGATATTCGCCGAAGAAGCGAATTCGGTCGCCAACCAGCAGATCGGCATAAGCGCGGAATCGAGTTAGCGTATAAGTATTGTCGATTGTTCCCAGGCGGCTGTTGTGCTCGTCCATGTAACGCACCCACACATGGCCGCCGGTGCTGAACGTGAGGCAATCGCCCACGGGTATGCGTTTGAGTTTTTCGACAAACGTGCGGTCTTGATACGGCACTGATTCGAGATAGCGAAAGTCAACATCGAAGAAGGAAGGTGGCATCAGGGCGAACGACGGGTAGGCCGACGGCGGTGCTTTATCTCGCGGGGTGTCGGTTAACACATCGAAGAATGAATAGTAGCCGTAACCGGTGGGAAAGACCGGAAAGTTACCCGGCCGGGCCATCGGGGTGATGCTCTTAGGGATCTTCGACCAATCGATGGTATGTCCGCAGCAGCAGGTCTTTCGCGGCGGACACTTTGGTGTTTGCTTGGCTGCACACGAGGGGCATTGTCCTCCGCATTTCGGACATGTCCCAGCATTGCACGATGGACACGGTTGGCAGGACTCGCATCTCCCACCTTCAAACGCATTGAAATTGCCCCCCAGGCTTTCGTGGGAAACGTCTGTGTAAGATGACGATTCGTACTCGTCGGCGTGGGTGAATGCCGAACCGGCCAAGACCACTGCGGCTGCAATGAAGCCGTGCCAAAGGAGTGTGCGCACTGAGTGAGACATTCCGGCTCCATCCACTTCGTCATGTACATCCGTGATGCGTAAATACCCAAAGGTGTGGGTCTACGAGATTGGATATCGGCGGCTATTTCCAGCTGCCCGCAATGGTTTGTGTCCGGGAGGCACACGTTGGCCATTTCAGCAGTGCAGAACCGTCAAAGCCGGCATTCTTTACGAGCATTGAACGGAAGTTGCCGACTATTCACTGCCGGGTGTATCGATCAGATAAACCTTGCCGTCTTCCCCTGCTACGGCAACATGATGGTGATCGTGCGTGAATTCCACCGTGTATAACGCCGCGTCGGAGTAGCGATCGTCCGAACGAAGCTGCCAGTCGGTAATATTCCACACGCGAAGTCTGCGGTCGCTGGCCACCCCCGCCAGGAGACAACCATCGGGAGAGAACACCGTGGCATAGAAGGGGTCTCGCTTGTTCCCGAACAGAGTGTGAAGCGTCTCACCAGTTTCGACCGACCACACGCGGATCGATTTGTCCTCGCTGGCGGTTGCGAGCAACTTTCCGTCGGAAGAAAAATCGCAGCGATACACATCGCTGGTGTGCCCGAGCAATTCTTGATAGCTCCCAGTAGCGAGATCCCACAGGCGAACCGTCTTGTCGCTACTGGTGGTGGCGAGAAGTTTACCGTCGGGAGAAAAAGCCAGGCCGTAAACTTGCCGTTTGTGACCGGGGAATTCGGCGACAAGTTCTAGCTCGGGCATCTTCCAGAGACGACACGTAGTATCTCCTCCGTCGGTACTCCCACCGCCTGTGGCCAGGAGCTTTCCATCGGGAGAGATTGCCACGCAGTACACGGCGTCGCGGTGCTTCTGCACCTGTTTGAATTTCGTGCCCTCAGTCGCGTTCCACAGCGTTACCAGTCCATCGCTGCTTGCGGTGGCTATTGTCTTGCCGTCGGGGGTAATCACCGCCGCGTACACGGCTGCTTCATGAAGCAAACGAAGCAAAGGTTTTCGACTTTGTATATCCCATACAATGGCCGTATCGTCCCCCGAGGAGGTGACCATCCGCCGATCGTCTTCACTGAAGACGATCATATAGACATACTCGTCGTGTGCCTCGAGCACTTCGACCGGCTCTGCGCAGACGGGCGACGCTGTGTAAGCAATCGTCGACAGCGAGCAGAACGCTGCCGTCAGAAAGTCATGCAACGTTGTCTTCAAAGGAGATGATCCTTGGATCCCGTCAGGCTACTTCGGCAGCGATGAAATCGGACGGATGCGAACATACACCTGCGTACCTTCCGGCGGGGCATTGCTCATATCGAACCGCACGGTCGGTTTGGGATCGTAGATCGGGTAGCGGTTATCAGCGATGATCCCGCCCGGGCAGTCGCAAGGGCAGGCGATGCATCCCGTGCCCGACTTGTGGATCGCGCCGCTGCCGTGAAACTCGAAGTGCGGGGTCCACGGCTTCTCGATTTGTTTATCACCCGCAGTAGTCAGTTCCGTGGCGAAGTGCTCGTAGGCCTTCTCAACCCAGTTGCCGTCTTCATCTTGCCAAAACACGGAAAGCACCACCGGATCGCCCTGCAGATAATCATCGGGAGTGGTATCCGCGTTCAGTCCGCTACGTTGTCGACCCTCTTGAATGCTGTAATGCACGCGAGGTCGACAACCCAGTTTCATCAGCCCGTCGAAGACTTCTTCCGTTTCGACGTCGACGAGAAACACGAAGTAGGGGGCCATCTTCGCATCGCCTCCGGCCGCCGTGGCACACCCGGCGAACGCCTGCACCCGTTGTCCGTATTCATCGATGCAGGGTTTATCCACCGGGTGTTGAATCTTGGCCGAGAGGATCACTTCCCGATTATCTGAGTCAACCACAACGGTACCCGGCTCGGGCAGTTTTGCCGCGGGGGCGTCATCACCCCAAGCCATCGCTGGAACCGCAACCGCGACAAATGTGTAGACAAGAGCAGTACGCGTCATGGGGTTCCTCGACTGGTTCGGGAATGAGGTACGAGATTGGGCACAGAATCACTCTACTTTGTGGATATGCGGGTGGCCAGAGGTGGGGTGTTCACCGGTGGCCGCGACCGATGGTGAGGAGTTTGTGGATACGCATGATTAATGCGGTCACGCACGGAGAGGGAGGCGTTTAATCTCCATCGTTGGGATCTCACTCTGTATTTCTCCTGCAGCCGAACTCAAATTTGGCAGCATAAAAGGTAGGCTTGCTACGGCCTGAGAACCGTCTGGGCCGCTCTATGTACCTCCACAGTAGACAATAAGACGAGCCACCGAACCATGAAGCTTGTAATCAAGTGCGGATTCATCGCATTGCTGGTTGTGTTGATGTCCACCGATCTAACGTTCGCTCGCGGTCCACGTGGCCGAGGCGGCGGTGGAGGCGGCGGTGGCTTTCGAGGAGCCCCGGGTGGTGGACCTCGCGGCGGGGCTGCTGGTCCGAATGGCGCCTTCAATCCTGGGCAGCTTCCCGGTGGGAACTTTCAACCCGGCGGAGGTGGGCCCCGTGTGAATGGTGGACCTCAGCCCACACTTAGCACTCGGCCGATGCCAGGCGAACGGCCCATGCAACTGCCGGGCTTTGGTAATCCCGGCGGAGCATTTGGCCCCGGTGGACCGAACGCTGGTCCACAAGGACGACCAACCCGTGGTGACGTCAGCCAGTTTCTCGGGCTTCCGCCCAACGCTGGCCCAGGACCGAATGGACCTGGCAACGGTCCTCTCACCCCTGGTGAGCGACCCTTTGCGGGACAGGGAGCACTCGATGGCAATCGACCATTAGACGGGGATCGACCCTTCGCTGGTGATCGCCCGATTGATGGCCGCCCTGGCGTTGGACGGGATCTGCCGGGACTAGGTCCTTACGATCGAGCCGCCTGGCCAGGATACGCCGAAGGGCCGAGGCCTTGGGCCGGCGGGCTGCATCCGTACTATCACAACCACTACTACGCGGGCCGATATCCGGCCGGGTATTGGTGGCGTCCGGCGACGGCTGCCGCCCTGACTGGCTGGTTCATCAATCCTTGGCCCCAACCAATCTATTACAGCTACGGAACCGGCGGCGACATCTATTACGACAACAGCGTGGTCTACGTCGGTGGAGAGCCGTACGCCACGTCCGAAGAGTACTACGATCAGGCCGAGGAACTTGCCACCAACGTGCCGAATTCGACCGACGAGCAAACCCAGGACATGGACTGGCTACCGCTAGGCGTGTTCGCCATTAGCAACGAAGCGGGTGAGTCGGATTACGTCGTGCAACTTGCGGTCAACAAGCAGGGTGTGATTACCGGCAGCTATTACAACGAAGAGTCGGACCAATCGCGGCCCATCGAAGGGATGGTCGACATGCAGTCCCAGCGGGCGGCATGGACCTTCGCCGATGGGAAGAACACCGACGTCGTTATGGAAACAATGATCTACAACCTCACCGAGGATGAAACCACCGTGTTGGTTCACTTCGGTGCCGACCAAACCCAAGAGTGGACCCTCACCCGAATGAACGACCCCCAGGTGGCCGGCTCGGGCAGTCAAGCTCCTGCTGTGGACTAAGCAGCTTGATTATCGCTGAACTAAACCAGTTACGTGAGCTGCGCGGTGCTTGGCCGCGCAGCTCACAGTCTTTTATGGGGCTTGAATAACGGCCTCTCCGCCATCGATCGTGGCCATGGCTTGCAGCACTTCCATATCGATACCCGTACTGATCACATGCACTGAGGCATCGCAGTAGACGAAATTGATCACACCAGAATGCAGGCTTCCCCAACCTCGTCGGCACGGTAGCGAGCCACCATATCCTCCCAGGGCTTTGCACTCGTCGTAGTCTGCCAACAAAGTGCGGGCCTGTGGAGTCACAGTCGAAAGACTGTAGTGCGCATACGCATAGGCCCAAAAAGTGCGGAACGGAAGTGAAGTTCGGGTCGTGCTTTCGCCTACCATGAGCGTATGGGAAGTACCATCGCGAATGTGGCGGATACTTTCGGTGGTGAAGTCCAACAAGCCAATGGTGTGAATCGGTCCCCGGTCCTCACGTGCAAAGTCGCCCAACTCGGCCGAGTCGAGAAACCGTATTCCGTCACTCCGCCCAGCAACCGCGCGATACGAACCTGGGCGATACATCAAGTTTAATGCATAGGGAGAAGCGGGGCCGGTGGCCGGAACCAATAGGTCGCTGGTCGAGATATCCGAAGGGCAAGCGAACACCGGGAGTGGTTTTTCGCGAACTTCTCGATTCTGGACCGCTTCGTTGAAGTCCTCGAAGTCGTACTGTTCGAACAGTGGCTTTTCTTCCAGAAACACGAGTATCGACAGGCACCAGTTCGCACCGTCTTCCGAAGGATACCCTTCGGTGCCAGGGCCCCCACCGTAGCAAATTCCAGCACTACGAGTCACATTGCCTGGAGGATAAGACTGATGCGATTCGTGATACTGGGTGATCGCCAGCCCAATCTGCCTCAGGTTGTTGGTGCAGTGCGCGCGGCGTCCTGCCTCACGCGCGTATTGCACCGCTGGGATCAACAAGGCGGTCAGGATGCCGATGATCGCGATGACGACCAGGAGTTCGATTAGCGTGAAAGCAGCACGTAGTGGAGAGGTGTCGCTGTTCATCCTCGTTTAAGCAGCCCGGCTGGAGGATACGGTTCTTCGACGTCGAAGCCCGAGCACAAGCAAGCCACATCCGCCCATGATGGCGAGCGCCAATGTCGTTGGTTCTGGGACCACGGTAATGTTGGAAGGATCCATCACCCACAACTCGTACCCAGCAGTTCCTCCACCTTCCTGGTTGAAGATGCCGACCGCAGAAAAGAAGCCCTCGGGAGCAGCGCCCGAGAAGCCATCGTCGAGACCCAGGTGAAGCGAGAATTCGCGTCCTTCGGCGTCGGCCACCGTCAGCAACGAGTCGGGGCCCCACAAAATCGGGTCGTCGACGAGTTGCACATTCATCAATTCAACCAGTTCGCCCTGGTAGCGTTCGCCACCCGCGGCCCGAGTCGGATCGAACAGCACAGAATCTTCTGCTTCGTCCCAAATGTCGGCCAAAGTCAGCGAAGTCGGGGTCGGCAAACCGTAGCCTGGGGTGATCAGCTTCAATTCGAAGTCGAGTTCCGACTCGATGAAGTGTTCTTCGTTCACGTTGGTTTTGCCTCCAAAGTAGAGCGCTCCCTGGGCGTGGATCTCGACGAGATCGCCGGCCTGAAACACATGACCGGTCTCGCGATCCATCGAAACACGAGTGATCTCATCAAGCCAGTCGGCATTGCTGTAGCTGCGAGACGGATCGGGAGTCGGGGCGGGAGTGAACTCCAGGTTCGGTGGGACATTGCCGTAGTGCTGACCCATGAACACGGCAGTGCCACCGAAATCGTCGGGCTCAATCGCTTGCACGAACACCTGCCACGAAGCGCCAAGATTGAAAGGCACCGGGTTAGGCTCGAACGGGGTGGAGTCGAGCATGTCTGCGGGGTTGTTAAGCAGCACGCCGAACAGGCGAATCGGAAAGACATTCGTTGGAAAGGCCCTTAGTCCGTCGTTGTCGACCGCTTGTAGATCTCTGTGATTGGTAATCGGAAGACTTTCCCAGTCGACATCTTCCACCCCTGCCGCGGAGGCCGTGCCGTTAGTGAACGCGAGAAGCGCACAAAGTGCGGCGAGGGCGAGACTGATGTGAAGGGAACGCCGGGGAATTGGAAAAAACTGGCCGGTTGGAATCATCTATATCTCCATGGAGGTTCGTCATAGGTGTGGGAGCCAAGCGCAAAGCGAAACGCATCGTGACTCAAGAGGGAGGAAGTCCGCCCTGATGCAGACGTGAGAAGAAACGCACGGGCGGGACACTGAAACAACGCACTAAACTCTCGAAACGCTCCTTGCTGGGAGGTCTCAGTATTCGTGCGATCAGTGTTTAAGCATTAGCAGCCCGTGGCTGAGAGGTGTGCGCACGCTATCGCGGAAAGCGATCGTGCAGCGAAGATCCAAACCCAACTATTAGCACACCTTGTGCCGATTCGGTGGGCGTCTCGTAAACCCATTGCATAGAGTGACTTGTGTATGGCGCCCGGTTTTTCTGCAGGCCACGATTAGCCGTGATATCATCGCGTATTCGTGATTAATCACGAAATCCAGTGGTTTCCCGCTTCTTGCTCGCTTGCTGGTCTACGCGATGAAATCTCAATCCCTGCAAAGTATTGCCACCACCGTTGCCCAGGAACGAAGCCTGGCCGCGGTGCTGCACAGCATCGTTTCGGAGCTAGCGGCTCAGTCGAATGCCGCGCTCACCCGAATTTGGTTGCTGGATGAGGCCGACCTCTGCGAGACGTGTGCTGCGGCCAACGTTTGCCCTGACCGCACGCGGTGCCTGCACTTGGCGGCTAGCGCTGGAAAGTCCCTACGAGAAGCGGCCGACTGGTCACGTACCGACGGCTACTTGCAGCGGGTGCCATTGAACGTGGGTAAGGTCGGTCGAATCGGCGCCAGAGGGCAATCGATTCTGCTTGAAGATGCGGTCGCAGACCGACAATGGATTGTTGACCAACAGTGGGCCCAGGAAGAGGGCATCGTGAGCTTCGCCGGGCATCCGCTCATGTTTCGCGGAAACAACCTGGGGGTGCTCGCTCTGTTCAGTCGCGAGCGTCTCAATCAGAGTGACTTTCAATGGCTGCGGGCATTTGCCGATCAAGCGGCTATTGCGATTGCAAACGCTCGGGCCTTCGAAGAAATCGAACGGCTGCAGGAAAGGTTGCAATCAGAGAATCGTTACCTGCGAGAGGAAGTCGATGAGGCCCATGCTTTCGGCGAGATCGTGGGACAGAGCGATGCCATGCGGAAGCTGCATGAACAGATTGGGTTGGTGGCGCCGACTTCAGCAAGTGTGATGATCCTGGGAGAGTCGGGCACGGGGAAAGAACTCGTTGCCCGGGCGATCCATCAACGCAGTCAACGAAGCGAACATCCCTTGGTCAAAGTCAATTGCGCGGCCGTACCCCGCGACCTGTTTGAAAGCGAGTTCTTCGGGCACATCAAAGGCTCGTTCACCGGAGCTGTCCGTGATCGAATCGGGCGATTTCAACTGGCCGATGGGGGCACGCTCTTTCTAGACGAGGTCAGCGAAACCCCTTTGGACTTGCAGGGCAAACTGCTCAGGGTCCTACAAGAAGGTCAATTGGAACGCGTCGGAGATGACAAGACGCGGAGTGTCGATGTGCGCGTGATCGCGGCCTCGAATCGCAACCTGGAAACGGAGGTCGCTGAAGGGCGGTTCCGCAAAGACCTTTACTTCCGACTCAGCGTGTTTCCAATCCACGTGGTGCCGCTGCGCGAGCGCACCGAAGACATTGCCCCCCTGGCAAGATTCTTTCTGCAACGATGTTGCCAGCAAATGCATCGCAACGTGCCCCGGATGCCGGCCCAGCAACTGGCACGCTTGCGTGAATATGCCTGGCCGGGGAACGTACGCGAACTGCAGAACGTTATCGAACGGGCAGTTATCAGTTGCCGATCCGATCAACTGGACTTTAACCGCCTGGTGTCGCAATCGCATGAAACAAATGGAGATTCACAAGAGAGTCATACTCACCGCAATTCGAGCGTGACCCCGAGACAGGTCATGACGATGCAGGACTTACGAGCGCTTGAGAAAGCAAACCTGCAGGCTGCCCTGGAGCAGGCAAACGGAAAAGTCTACGGTCCCCGGGGTGCCGCGGAGTTACTGGGAATTCCGGCCACCACGTTGGCTTCGAGGATGAAGCATTGGGGCATCAAAAAGCCACGGTAGCCCGGTCGGTTGAGTGTTCGCCAAGGCGAATGTCAAACACCTAGCTTCTCACGGATGGCTTCTTGAACCACATCCGGGGGCGGGGTTCCGTCGATGGTGAGGACCAATTCTTTGCGGCGGAAGTGATCCAGGATGGGCTTGGTCTTGGTGTGGTAGTCTCGCAGCCGATCGGCCAGGGCCTCGGGAGTGTCGTCGGGTCTCGAGGTGAGTTGGCCCCCGCAGACATCGCACACGTTCTCCACTTCAGGACGGTGCGAAATGAGGTTGTAGTCGAGCCCACAGCCACCACAAAGACGTCGGGACAGCACGCGTTCGCGGACCACGTCGTCGGGCATTTCGATGTGGATCACGGCATCGATGTCATAGCTTTCAAGGAAGAATTGCGCCTGCGAAGCGCTACGGGGGAAGCCGTCGAGGATGAACCCGTAATTCCAGTCGTGCTCTTCCAGCCGACGACGCACGACGCCGGCCACCACCTCGTCGCCCACCAGGTTGCCGGAGGCCACCACGCGCTTCACCTGGGCGCCCAACTTGGTGTGGTTCTTAATGTGCCAGCGAAAGATGTCTCCCACGCTGATGTGAACTAGGTCGAGCGCATCTTTCAGCATGTGAGCCTGGGTTCCCTTACCACATCCCTGCACGCCCATGATCACGTATTTATGCACGACTCGCTTAGCCTCAACTTCACACGGTTCGGTTGCGGTGGATACAGGGGTCGGAGCAAAGGCGATCTCAACCATCATGGTCTCTTCGTAGCACGTGAAACGATGTTGTCCTTAACAGGGGTACCATCACCAGATTTCTGGAACGAAAGTCTGATCTTCGATTGGCGGGCGTAAATAGGCCCCGGCTTTCGGGCGGGCGGAAAGCTTTGGAGGCGTGGGGGTTAGATCTTCGTATTTGATTTTGCTCAGCAGATGAGTGATGCAGTTGAGCCGAGCACATTTCTTACTGTCGGCCTTCACCACATGCCAAGGTGCCTGCTTGATGTCGGTGTGTGCGAACATCGTATCTTTGGCTTTGGAGTATTCGATCCACCGCGAGCGCGATTCAACATCCATCGGGCTCAGCTTCCAACTACGCGTTGGATCGTCCATCCGTTTTTGGAAGCGCCGCTCTTGTTCAGCATCGCTAACCGAGAACCAGTATTTGAGCAGGATGATTCCCGAGCGGACCAGCATGCGTTCAAACTCGGGACAAGAGCGGAGGAACTCTTGGTATTGTGTGTCGGTACAAAAACCCATCACGCGTTCAACACCGGCGCGGTTGTACCAACTGCGGTCGAAAAGAACCATCTCTCCAGCCGCCGGCAGATGGGCAACGTAGCGTTGGAAATACCAGCTCGACTTTTCGCGTTCGGTCGGGGTTCCCAACGCAACAACGCGACAGATGCGAGGGTTCAAGCTTTCGGTAATGCGCTTGATCACACCACCTTTCCCAGCGGCGTCGCGACCTTCGAAGATAACCACGACCTTCAGCTTTTCGTGCTTGATCCATTCCTGCAGCTTCACCAACTCAATCTGCAAACGGGCGAGTTCCTTCTCATAGGCGTCGTTATCAATCTTGTGTTTCTTGGCTTTGACGTCACCCGATCCATTCGTTCCAGGAGAGGGCACTGCTGAGTCCTTGCGTGCCTTTTGCTTCTTTTCTTTCAGTTTTGTTGTCATGGCAGCACCACTCTGGAATAGGTTGCGAGGGCCGAAAAACACGAGGCCTCTTCAAGCCATACCTCCGGGTGCAAGTGCCGTGCCAGAGAGCGGCTAGGTAGGCGCAATGACCGTTTTTCACAGGTTATCTCGATTCCCGAAGCCGCCGGTGCGCAGTGATTTAGCAGATCTGCTACCGCAACGCGCACTCGCATCACGTGCTTTCCTCGGCGAATTCGATTCGATTTCCGGCGGGTTGTGCAGCGTGTGATCCGAGAGTTCTCGCGATTCGTTAAATCCTCGAGGTGTTCATCCACGGTGCATCGCCCACCACGAGTTTCTGGACATCGCATTTTCGCCCCCTGATAATGACGACGCGAAGCATTGAAATGCGCCTTCCCTTCTATCGCCAACTTCTTTGGCCAAGGTGTGGTATGAGAATGACATCTCAATTGCGACTTCTTTTGATCGCCGTTTGTCTGATGGTTGCTTCCGGCGAGGCGACCGCCGCTGCACCGAATGTGGTTCTCGAGGATCTGATTCTCCCGCCCACCGAAGGCCCATTACCCGGCGGCGCAGTTCTGCAATTTGGCTTCAAAAACTTGAACCAGGGCAGTGGCATCCGCGGCTTTGCCATTTCACCCGACAAAACAATCACAGCAACCAGCGGCTATCTCGCGGGTGCCCCAATCAAGTTTCGAGAATTTGGCTCCCGCAAGCTTGTCGCGAATTTGGCCGACGATCTCCGTGGGAGCGGGTCGCTTGAATTCTCGCCCGACGGATCGCTATTGGCGGCCGGAAGCAACTCAGACGCCACAGTGCGAATCTGGGATGTGGCGACGAGGACGCGAGTGTCATTGTTCCGCACGGCCGACTACCCGTTGCACGGGACAAACTTAGCAACCTGGATCGCCTTCGCCCCCGACGGCAAGACACTGGCCTCGGCAAGCCCACTTGGTACGGTTGAAGTGTGGAACGTTTCGAACGGTCAATTGATTAATTCGATCGTTCCGGCGGACAAAGAAAGCAATATTCGCAAGAAACTGAGCCAAGCCATTGCGATATCGCCCGACGGGAATCATCTAGCGGTAGCCACGGCCGACGGCATGATCCGCATCTACGATTACCCCACACTCAAGCGGCGTCATGAAATCAATATTCTCACCATGACGATCCATGACTTGGAGTTTTCGCCCGACAGCCGACTGCTGGCCTACACCGGAAACGACAAGCCTGGAAATTTCCAGGCTGGCGGAGGCGCCTACCTGTACGACCTGGAAACGAAACGAGAAATCAGAAGCCTTGCCCGGGACCAAGACCAGCCTGCCACCGGGTACGGATATTCAATGACGTTTCTGCCTGGGGGCGAAAAACTCATGACGCTCGACGTTGGGGGCACCGCCTACATGTGGGAAACGACCACGGGCACATTGCAATACCGCGTGCAAACCGGAGGATCGCAGTTGCGGGTGACCTCCGATGGCGAAGCCTTCGTCACGGTCGATCATTTCGGTCGAATTCGATACTGGCGAACCGCCGATGGCCAAGAGACCGACCCTCCGCCGGGTTCAGGCGATCCGGGTGCGAGACTGCCAAAGATTACGGCGGTAGCGTTGCCGGCCGACGGTTCCACTGCGTTGACCACGACATCGCCTGGCGAGATCCACACATGGGATCTCACCACAGGCGAGTTGAAGGACACCATCGCCATCTCGTCGCCTCGCGGATTTGCGAGAGTCCAGGGAGCGATTTTCTTGCCCGATGACAGCGGGGCAATCTTCGGGGTTGGCGAGCACCTGCAACTCCTAGAGCTTCCCTCGGGGAAGTCAATCGACTGGGAAGCCTATCCATCGCAGGAAGATGCCCAACGTTTCGCTCGGGGCAACATGTCTTACCTAGATGTTTCCAAAGACGGCTCGACCGCGGTCTCTCTCAACCGCGAGCAGGTGAACAACTCCCCAGGCATCCTCCGTCTGTGGAATGTGGCCGACGGTGAGTTAAAGTCTTCGATCTTGATCGACAAGCAGACTCAGGTTCGGCCCGTGCTCGCGCCCGATGGGGCGACTCTGTACGCCTACGAGCAGCGGCCGGCGAAGTCATATGGGTTCGACACCGTCATTCAGCTCTACGACACATCGACTGGAAAACCCATACGGCAGATCGACAACAATGATGATCAGACGCACCTTCAAATGCCCGGGGTGTCTCCCGATGGACAGTTCCTGGCATTCGGTGACTTCATCGACACGGTGCAACTGTGGGATATTGCCGAGGGGAAAATTGCGTCGTACTTGCGAGGCCCAATCGGCGGGTCGGGGGTGATTCAAGCTTGGTACTCGCCCGACGGTAAACGTCTGGCGACGACGGTTAGTCTGCGCGGGCGGATCGACCCTTACTCCGAGGTGACCCAGGTCTGGGACTTGGCCACGGGGCGAATCACACATCAGTTCGCGGTACTTTCCCACGGTTTGGCGTTCTCTGCCGATTCGAATCACCTGGCCGTCGTGGCCGCTGACCATTCCGTGTTGGTGTACGACCTGCGGGAAGAACATCCGCAACTGGATGATGCCCCCCCTCCCACCACCGCCGAACTCGAGGAGGCATATCAGCAAATTGGGGGTAGTTCCTACGCCTACATGGATCAGAGCGCGCGTTACGATCTGTGCATGAGAATGGTGGCCGGCGGTGACGACACCATCGAGTTCCTTCGCCCAAAAATTCTGAGCCCGCTCACTGCAGAACGAGATGAACTTCTGGAAGTGGTTGGCGAACTGCGTTCTGAAGACGAAGCGGTTCGCCTGGAAGCCTTTCGACGAATAGGAGGCTTGGGGGACGAAATCTGGAAGCTGTCTGCCGACGCGCGCACCCGACCTCTCAGCCGCTCAGAACATGGGCGACTTCGATTCTTCGTCGCGAGGGTCCCCGAACAGCGGCGTTTGCAACTTCTGATTCACGTCATCCGGCCAATCGGCACGGAAAACGCGCAGCAGTTACTCGAAGACTTGATCGACAGCCATAGCGGCGACCGAGTCGAGCGTACCGTGGTCAAACGGGCGCGGCAGATGTTGGAACAGTTTCCAACACCCAGTTCCTGATGACCGAAGGTTTACACCCGGGGGATCTCGAAGCCCTCACGCGGCTTGCGTGCGAAGAAGCTTGCGGCTTCGTCGTCGCCGGTGATTTGTTCGCTCGATGGATCCCAAGTGATTTTGCGACCGAGTCGGGAGGCAATCGCACACAAATGACAGGTGTGCATCGCTTGCACGTGGGAGTAAACATCTGAGACGGGCAGCCCACCTTCGGCGATGCAGCGGTAGAAGTTCTGCTTGTGACCTTCGTGCGGCTTGCCTTTGTACAGGGCGGCCAGATCGTCCGCGGTGAACTGACCTTCGTCCCAATTCTCTTCGATGGGGGTGCCAGCAATCTTGCCGCGACTGACAAACAGACGACCCTTGGTGCCTTCGAACAACACACCATTATCGCCCCGGCTGGTCACGGTCATGTTGGTTCCAGTGGGGAACTTGCAGTGCACGGCAAAGTCGTGCGACGAGTTGTACGAATCGTCGACCGTGGGGTAGCCATCTTTGAAGGGCACCGGATGCTTGGCATCGGTCCCGTCGATTTCAGTCGGGCCATAACCTTGCTTGTCGGCCCCGATCGCCCAGGTGGCGATGTCGACATGGTGCGCGCCCCAGTCGGTGAACTTGCCGCCTGAGTATTCATACCACCAGCGGAATTCGTAGTGGCAGCGCGGCTCGCGATACTCGACCTTGGGTGCTTGCCCGAGCCACATATCCCAATCGAGTTCCTTCGGAGGCTCGACCACGGGGAAGGGGCCTCCCACCACACCACCATTAATGCCGACGACGATGTTTTGGATATCGCCCAGCAGGCCTTTTTGCACCATGTTGATCGCCCGCAGGAAACGGTCGGCGTCGCTACGTTGTTGCGTGCCGATGAAGAACACCTGGTCAGGATGCTTGTCGCAAGCGTCACGAACCAGCAGGTTCTCTTCCAGCGTGAGCGTGAGCGGCTTCTGGCAGAAGACATGCTTGCCAGCCTGTAACGCTTCGATGGCGATCTTCACGTGCCAGTGATCGGGCGTGACGATGCTCACCACGTCGATGTCGTCTCGTTCGAGCACCTTGCGATAATCGCCATATGCGTCGGCCTTACCCTTGCCGATGTTTCCGTCTGCCTTGGCTCGTTCGGCATGTCGAGAGTCGACATCGCACACGGCCACAATATCGCCGAACTGGTTATGCCCGTGTGCGTCGCCAGTGCCCATGCTGCCCACGCCAATGCAGCCAATGATCGGCCGATCGTTCTTGGCCGTGTTCGCGAACGCCTTCGCACCATAGGGGAAATAAACAGCCGTTGCCGCCGCAGCGGCCGAAGTACCAAGAAAGCGTCGCCGAGAAACAGAAGGGGCGCTGATATTCTTCAAATCATTCGACATGGCAGACTCATCAGATATAGGAGTGAGCTAAAAGGCGGGACCGAGAACCCCTCTATTCTAACTGGAATTCCACCCCAAAGAAAAGCTTTCCGAACGCGGCAAAAACCGGGTAATCGCAAACAGTTGAGGCGGATGAAGAGGATGCTCTGCGACGATATCAGTCCGCTCTCGATGAGTCTAATCCTTGGTAAGTCATGGCGGTGAAAAAGGGGGATTGCATCCGGGGAGTAGGTAGTCGCGTGCTACCACCATCGCAAATCATTCGCGAGCAGAATTTTGTTGACACCTCAATTGATGTGCAGTATTGTCTGCACATTGAAGGAGGGGATCATGGCGAACTTTACCCCCGGCGAACTGGCCGTGATGCGGATTCTGTGGGAGCACGGCGAATTGAAGCCGAGCGAGGTTCAGGATCGCTTTCCTGAACCCATTAAGAATCCCGCGCTTCGGTCATATCTTTCCATCTTGTTGGAAAAGGGGCACATCTCACGGCGCAAGGTCGGCAAAGCCTTTTACTACAAGGCCGTCACGCGTCGTCAGAACGCCCTGCGCTCGACCATCCGAGAAATTGCCGACGCCTACTGTCAGGGTTCGGCGAAGAATCTCATTCTGAATTTGATTCGATCCGAGAAGCTTACCGAGGCGGAGTTGTTGGAACTGAAACGGCTGGCTGACCATCGCGAATAATCAAAAAGGGGCCAAGTATGACGTCGCTTCTCAATTGGCTTTCCGACAGTGTGAACTCGGTACCCGTCGCGATCCTCTTGCGACTTTCTTTGATTCTGGCCGCGGCATGGTTCGTCCACCTGGTCTTCCGAAACGGTAACCCGCGATACCGCATTACGATTTGGCGCCTAACAGCGATTGGCATTGTATTCGTGACGATGGCTAGCGTGACTTCACTGCGGTTCGATGTCCCCTTGTTGCCTGCACATCAAACTATTCCCGCGGTGGAGATCTCGGCCACGTCTGCTGAGCGAGTAAAGACCACCCCACCAATAAATCAGGAAAGACGAGATCAAGGTCCTAATCGCGCGATGCCTGATCGGCAAGCAAGTACAGGCCAGGAGCGTGGATTTTCGAACACCGGGCCAATTGTTCCTGTCCCCAAACCACGTCGGGAGAGCAAACCGCCAGGGCAGAGCAGTTCGCTCCCCCAATCTGCTTTCCAGCCTACGAAGGTTCCTGCTGCAACCTCTCCTGCAGAGGTTGCGAAGAGTAGCTGGGACATCATTCAGTACAGCGTGGCACTGTGGGTCGTTGGTTGCTTGGCGCTGATCGCGAACTGGGGCATCGGTCTCCATCAACTCCTCCGGATGTACCGAAGGGCAAAGTCGGTCTCCGACGAAGTGGAGGCACAAGCCAAGAGAGCAGCGGAGTCGATCGGTTACCAAGGCACTTTCGAGTTGCGACACACCGATAAGATTGCTTCTCCCGCGATCGTTGGCCTATGGCGTCCGCAAATTTTGCTTCCAACGGATCAATGTGAACGTCCTGATGAGCCGGAGTTAAGGGCCATGTTGGCTCACGAGTTGGCACACTGCCAAGGCAACGACCTGCGTTGGAATCATGCATTGACATTGCTTGCGGCTGCTCTTTGGTTCCATCCGCTGGCCTGGCGCATGCGGCTGGCTCACGTCGATGCATGCGATGAACGATGTGATGAAACAGCGGCCGCTTATCTGGGCAATAGCGAACTCTACGGTCGCCTGCTCGCCGCGTTGACCCTTCGCGTCCACGCCTGGAGAGCGGCCTCCGCACTGGCTATGGCTCGGCGCTCACGCGTTCGCCAGCGAATCGAACGAATTCAGCGAGGTACCAGTGGCAGTGTCTCGCGGTGGCGTTTGGGGTTCGTGATCGCAGCCGTAGTGATGATGATCATCGCTACCGGTACTTTGGGCATCAGCCGTTCACAGGCAGAGCCACCAGCGGACTCAGGTGCCGCCAGTGAGAAGCCGAGCGAATCACCAGCGGAAACGAAAGAATCCAGCAGCGAGCCCGAAGAGAAGCCTGCGAAGAAAAGGCTTCAGCTACCAATACGCATCATCGATGCAGAGTCGGGCGATCCGCTTGGCGACGTCAAAGTGAGCGTCCGTGGTCGTATCGACGATGAACGATTTACCTCAGACCTTCGATCGAGCGACCAAGGTGAGGTGAGGGTCCGCGGTCCAGAGTACGAAAATATGCAGTCGTTTTCGTTCAAGGCCAGTAAGCCTGGTTACGTGCCGGTCTATTACTATTGGGATGACGACAACAAACCGATTGAATTGCCAGAACGCTTGGAGTTGCAACTAACGCCGGGGCAGACCATCGAGGGGCAAGTCGTAGACGAATCGGGGAACCCGGTTGCGGGAGCGAAGATCACCTTCACCATGCGGGCAACACGCTCGACACGATCAAGTCTCATATTCACGCCTGGTAAGACAGAAACCGATGAGGATGGTCGCTGGAGTTGGGCTTCCGCCCCGGCAGACTTGGAAGGCGTTGGCATCGGCGCTCAGCATCCCGACTATATGCGGGGGGGAATCGGAGCCTCACGCGGAGACGGGAACAAAATCGTCCTCTCGTCGGGAATAAGAGTCGAGGGTCTCGTTAAAGATGCGAAGGGTGAACCGGTTCGAGGAGCCGTTGTTCGACTCGGGACAGGCAGTCCGTCTTCGTGGAAAATGACAGACGGTGAAGGCCACTTCCGCTTCGAGAACTGCAAGCCCGGCCCTTCGGCCCTTTTGGTGCAGGTAGGAGATTTCTCTCCCGCGGCTCAGGTAATCAACATCAACTCCTCTCTAGAACCAGTCGAGTTCACGCTAGATCCTGCGCATGTGTTACGTGGTCAAGTTGTCGATGTGAATGGCAATCCTTTGGAAGACGTGCTGGTGGCTCCCGAAGAGTGGCAAGGAGTTCGGACGATCGAACAGCGAATGCGAACCGATGCGGAGGGTCGTTTTGTTTGGGACAGTGCTCCACCAGATGCGGTGGAGTTCAGCATCCTGAAGCAGGGCTACATGTCTCAGCGAAACTACATTATCACAGCCGGTCTACTTGATGACTCTGAGGAACACGTAGTCACTCTCCATCCCGAGCTAAGGGTCAGCGGAAAGGTCACTGACGCCTCAACGGGCAAGCCGATCGAAGAGTTCGCGATTCGCTACGGGTATCAATTTTCCAATAGAGAGCGAATCTACTGGAGCGACGATGCTCCGGTTCTATACTCCGGCGGTGAGTATCTCTATCTAGAGAGTGAACCGAAGAGCGCACACTTCCTTCAGGTGGTTGCGGCTGGTTACGAACCTCAAACATCCCGCGCTTTGAGTTCGACCGAGGGGAATGTGCAACTTGATTTTGAATTGCAGTCCGGCGAAGGGCCCTCGGGCATAGTGGTCACTTCAGAAGGAAAGCCCGTGGCAGATGCGGAGGTAGGCCTGGGGACACCTGAGCGACGCATCTTCTTCAGAAATGGGCAATTCGATCGCAATCAGAATCAGGCTCTGATGACGCGCAGCGATGAGGCGGGAAGATTCCGTTTCAACCCTCTCAGAGACGAGTATTTCCTGATCGTTATTCTCCATGAGGAGGGTTTCGCAGAGGTTTCAAAGGAAGAGTTGGCGAAAAACGAAGAGATTGTGCTGCAACCTTGGGGAAAGTTACGGGGAAAACTCTTAGAAGGGAATACAGCCGTTGGTGGGCAGGAGGTAAGTTATTGGCCCAAACTTCCGCGTAGTCCGCTCCGTCAGGAATGCGTTTGGGGATACCGTTATAAAACGAAGTCGGACGAGGATGGTACTTTCGAATTCGACCGCGCAATCCCGGGACCAGGCTCCGCATCACGCCTTGTTGTTACTAGGTATATACGAACTTGGAGTGAAGCCCCTGCTTGGCAGACTCCAGTGGAAGTCGACTCAAACGAAACATCTGAAGTAATCATCGGCGGTACCGGTAGACCTCTCATCGGTAAGGTTGTGCTCGACCGAGAGCCAGACGTTGCCATCGATTGGACAATGAACAGCCCTGTGTCGGTTTATCCCAAACCTGGGCAGAACAGTGTGCCAATCGTCTACACACGTTTCATCGCAAACATCGACAAGTCGGGTGAATTCCGCATCCCAGATGTTCCTGCGGGCGACTATTTCATAGGGCTTGCGGTCAACAATCCCCCGTCGCCCAATGCCTGCGGGGCAGGAGACGAAATTGGCAAAGCGGAGTTTGAGTTCTCGGTGCCTTCAATGCCCGGTGACCGCAGCGATGAACCGCTCGATTTAGGCACCATCACTGCGACACTCTTCGAAACACTCGATGTGGGCGAAGCGGCTCCCGATTTTGCCTCGGAGAATCTCCGGGGAGGGACCCTCCGTTTGTCCGACTACGAAGGCAAACTCGTTCTGCTCGACTTCTGGGCCACCTGGTGTGGTCCGTGCCTGGCAGAGATGCCAACTCTCAAGAGAATCTACGAACGCTTTGCCGACGACCCTCGCTTCGCGTTAATCAGTCTCTCTTGCGACAACTCAATAGACGCACCACGAGTATACGTGAACGAGAACCAGCTTGCTTGGCACCAAGCCCACGTCTCGGGCACTAGTGCCCGGGCGCCGAAGGACTATGCGCTGCGTACGATCCCGGCAACATTTCTAATCGCCCCCAGTGGCCGTGTGTTGGCAAAGAATCTTCGCGGTGAAGAATTAGTCGATGCCGTGGCCGCGGCACTCGAGGATGAAGAGTTATTTAGCCATGCGGCCGGTGCCTACGAGCCACGTTTTCCTGTGGTGCGATTCAAGGCAGAAGCCTCAAAAGAGGATACACCAATTCCGGCAGTTGTCGTGCTGGATAATATCGATCCGACTTATGAGAAAGACGTTCCCGGCAAAGATAGCCTTCGCGCACTAGTTCGCGAGGGCAACGAACTGTGGAAGTATGTTGGACTGCATTCCAGTCAATCAGTCGGAGGTGTTCACGGAGTCGCGGTTGATAGCGAGCGTCGCCGGATCTACGTACGCGAGAATGTTGTCGACCGCATCGTCGCCTTCGATTGCGCGGGACAGAAGCTATGGCAGGTCGAGCATGTTCCGGTTGGCACGATAGCCGTCGATCCGAAGACGGGATACGTGTGGGCTAGTGGCGGGCCGAGTTTGAAATCTGGCGAGACGGTGGTTTTCGACGACTCGGGTAACGAGGTGGCAACCTACCCCTTCCGCGGAATCGATATGGCTTACGACCCCAAGTCAGATGCATTTTGGTTGGTGGGCTACGACATAATTAAGTTGTCACGCGACGGGAAGGTGCTCTTTCGTGAACCGGTTAACGGGTGGTGTTGCGCCTCGGTATCGGTCGATCCCAACAACGGCAATGTATGGATAGCAGAGAGATCGCACCCCGATGTATTGGAAAGTAGTAATCGCCTGTGGCTGAGAGATTCTAACGGCGAGGTCATTCAGAGAATCGATCTAAACGAAGATGGCATATCTGTCGTGGAATGCGATCCCTCGACCGGAGGAGCATTGCTCAGCGGATATACAAGTGGGCTGCGGCGAGCATCCGTTGCAGGCGAGGTTGAAGAACTCGGAATCGTCGGTGTTACCAATCTGGCTGTGGGTACTCAAAGCGGTGATTCCTGGGTTTCCACCAATGAGTCTCTTCTACGGATCGACCCCAGCGGGAATGTCCTCCAAAGCTCAGAATTCAGCGCTGAATCTCGGGGCGCCTGGATCGTGGCATTCTAGCTGTTCTACTACTCGAATCGCCGAAACGACTGGCTTTCGACCAGTTTGTCGATTAACAGAGCAACGAGAACGGAGATAACCGGACTCGCCTCCGCATCAGCCGGACTCGTCGAGAAGTTGCCGCTCAATTCCGGTGGCACCTTCAACTTCGGTATTCATGTCGCTTGAAGGCAGATAGATTGCCCCATGCGTGTAGTGACTATCTGAGTGAATGGCGAGGGCAATCTTAATAGCATCTCGCCAAGCGACCACTGCTGACGAAAAACCCTATCGCTGGCCGTGAATTGCCAGTGCAAGAGAGATGTTGCCAGATTCTCTCGAAACTTGAATACTGCCTTCAGGCCGTAGAAGATACTTCTAGAATCTTCCGGACGCTTGATTGAGCAGTCGCCATAGCGCACATGAATTCCGCTTGTGATTGACAATCGAAGGTCCAATTCCACCACTCGGAGCGGTAATCGATGAGCAAGACACTGTTGGTGATCTTAGGGATCGTGGCAGCAGCATTTATATCGGTGGTCGTGTGCGCCGGCATCATCGGTACGGCCTTCTATATGACGAGCGGGATTGTTGAAACTGCCGATTCGTTTTTCCAGCAAGTGGCCGACGGCAATATCGACGAAGCCTGGACTAACGTTTCAAAAGAGTTCAAAGAGTCGACTTCGCGGGAGGAGTTCGAGGCATTCCTCGAACAGTCGTCTCTAGACGAATACCAATCGGCCACTTGGAGCAACCGCCAGGTGACGAATAATGAAGGCACGCTGGAAGGCACGATCACAACACCGGACGGTTCCATCCCGCTCACAATCACGTTGTTCAAAGGTGACGATGGGTGGAAGATTCAAGCAATCGAATTAGCAGACGCGGGCATCGTCAATCAGTCTCCGGCATCCGTGCCCACCCTCGAAGAATCAGCCGCCCTGGTGAAAGCTACCACGCAGGAATTTGCTTTGGCGGTCAATAATAAAGACTTCGCCGACTTCCACAAAAACCTCGCCGTCGAATTCCAAGAGAAGCTATCACCCGAGCAATTTGCCGAGGTCTTCGCCGTATTTATCGAGCAGGAAATCGACCTGACCGTTCTTGAAGACCTCGAACCAGTCTTCACCGTCGACCCCGGCATCGGCGCCGATGGCACGCTGCACCTGGAAGGCTACTTCCCCAGCGAGCCGTCTCGCTCACACTTCTCCTACAACTACGTCTACCGCGACAACGCCTGGCAATTGCTCGGTCTCGACGTAAACATCAAACCGATTGGAAAAGAAGGCGAGTAATCCCCCCGCCCCGCAAAAGAAAAGCCCAGCCCGCGGCCTGAAGAGAAGTATCCCCGAGAGGATTCGAACCTCTAACCTTCGGCTCCGGAGTTCGTCGGCGCACGGAAAATGCTCATATTACGTTTCGGGAACCGACATTTTTTGAGGTTTTCGTCTTCCTCTAGATTTGCCTTTGCTTTGTTCAGAGTGCCGCGTCTTGCATTTGTGGGGGGATTAGTGGGGGGAACAGAACGGCCGTATCAAAGCACAATACGAATTCCTATCCAGTCCATCCAAAAGCGAAGAGGCAACACTCTGCCTATCTACATAGACCAGATCCTTATGGTCAGAATGCTAACCACACCTTGCCTCAGAGTACCGGAAAATGCACGGTTGACATGGTAAATGAGAACGCATCGCCCCCGTACTTTGCACACAGATTGACCAGCCCTCATGAAGTCAAGTGGCTGGATCGCTTCCGGGCCGGGGATTGAAGCCTAGCGATCCATGGGATCTCACCGTGTTGAAATGCTGTCGCCAACACTGAATTAACGGCTGATCACCCTACGGATCTCGCGCCACATGCCTCAGTGAGGCAATTTAGTGCTCAGAGTGAGAATCTGCACAGGCATCTTCGAGATCAATCTCTGCTGCCGAAAGCATAATTCTCTCGACGTGTTCGGCAACTTGCTCTATGTGCAGTTCCAACCGGGCATCCCTGACACAGAAGCGGACACCCAGTATGCCCTCTCTTTGCTCTATATCACGTAGACGCTCCAATCGGGCTGCCATATCGTCATTTCTCATTGGTTTCATGCACCCTAAGGTTATTCTAGATATTGACTTATGTCAAGACGTGTCTCCCGAGAAACGAGACAACCCGACCTCCAGAGAGACATACTATTCATATATTAAGCTCGCGGAAATTGACGAAAAAGGACATTCAATCTGGAAAAAGTCTAAAGTTTGTCGAGGAGCCCTTTCTCGGCTGCCTTATTGGCAGGGAACAATCTAATCCGTTTACTCATCGGCAAATCACATGCCACGCTTTGCAAGGCTTCAAGCATCGGTTAGAATCCGTGGATTCGCCACAGGTGGCACTAGTAGCAATGGGGGGTCTTTCGGTCATGTCCGGGCTATCTTCTAGAGCACGCGATGGTGAGGTCTTTATATGCCTCTCTGAGCACGCCAATAGAGAGACTGGTTGGCGAGAAATCTACAGGTTGTACCGCTTTCAGTTTAGAGACCGACTTCAGCGAGTTTTCCCAACGCTTCGCGACTGTGATCTTGACGATGTTTGGGGTAATGCTTGCTTGCGAATCACAAGCCACGCTGATTCCGGCCGTTTCGATGACACTCTGGACAATATCCATAGCCTGCTTTGGGTAATAGTTAAACGCTCAGCGATTGATTACCTTCGACGCGCGACTCGTCGTAATAGACTTGTCAGTACGCATGCATCATATCCTGCTGACGAGTGGATTCTCATTTCGAATACGGAAAAATCTTATAGCGTCGAAGGTGTATTGGAGAAGTTGAGGCGGCTCGCAAAGCGACTGCCGCGACAACAGCGGACTGTATTTGAGTGCTATTTGTCTTGGTATGATACAGACCAAGAAAACCATAGCCATGATTTGCAAGAACTGGTTTCATTTCGACTCGGTCGTCATGTCACCGAAGTGGCGATAAGAAAGTCTCTCTCGAGAGCGAAGAGCCGGCTGAGACCTCTGGTGGTCAATGCTATGATGGATGAGGATAGGTAGCGGTGTTCTGACATGTTTCAGACGAGCTGCAACTTGACGAACGTGATTCCTTGAGCACCATTGATGTGTGCCACCTTCACATCTTCCCCCCGAAGCCAATGCCAGAAGATGGTTGCACACAGCCTATGCACATTAAATCTGTGCTTGGGCGATTGATTCCCCTCCCACACTGCTTCTATTTTCGAGTGACGCAATTCGCTCAATGGATTCTACTACCTGCAAATTTTCCAGATCCCGCAACGCACGTTGATCTGGTAAGAAGCCTTGGATACTCATCCGGGCGTGTGGCCAGTACTTGGTGCGGGTGACAATACTTCAATTTTGATTCGGAAATGGGTAGACTGTTGCGTTTGCGGCTACTCTTCTCGGTTGAAGAGTGCGATAAAACAGGGTTCACTACGAATAGCGAGCAATGAACGCCTATGACCTCGCATCAAAGCGTGGATACCTCGAATGAGTTTTCTATGTCATACTACATACGCCAACTAGATTGGCCACGATGCTGTAGGCCAGCCACGAAATAGATAAGTGACGCATCGGTTCACAGGGCCAAGTATTCCACTGCTACCAGTTGGTGAACGTGTCTGCATATAGCTATAAATCGAGGGCAAATGTACAGATGGTCGATAGTGAAAATGCTTCTGCATCATTCAGCGAGCCAAGCAACTCTGAAACACCAGATTTAACTTCTTTTGTTGCAAGGCATCGCTTGGCATATCGCGAACTCTATATGAATCAGACGCTAAATGCCACAGATGGCGAACAGCTAACGCTTCCCGCAGGTGGCCATTTCACAGATGAGAATGGAAAGTCAGTTACATCGGGCTTTCCACGGGAGCGGCTAATTGTGATATTTCAGAGGAAGCCGCGATGCCTTTGGTGTACACCGGCTGATAGCAGGCTCTGGTCGACCAACGTGATACGCAAGAATCGTTCGGGCACTACGTTTGGCATTATATTTGTCAACCCGGACCTGCTGCGCCTAGATCCTATTCAACGAAAGTATTTTCTTGCAGAAGAGTGGCTTGAGGTGATGCTTGGATTGCAAGATGTAGATCTTCGCGTTTCACAGTATGGAATCAGTTCAAACGATAACTATAAGCAAATGTTGGCACACCGACAGGTCATCTGGCAATCTTCAGGTGATACTCAAATAGAGCTTCATCTGGCCTTGCGGCAATTGCTGGTGTCTTCAGAAACGTTACGGGAGGTAATCAAAAAAGAATTTTCCACAAGCGTCGAAGAGCTGAAAATGTTGTTAGATAAACAAGGCGGCGTAGCACAGTTTGAAGCAGCTGTTGCCGCTATCGAACAATTTATTTCTACATCGAAACACATTGCGCCTGAATTAGTCAGAGATCGATTAGACGAGGTGCTTCGATGAGGGAAGCTCTTGGGCGTCCAGCTACATTTGAAGGCTGTGACAGGGTTCGAATATTGAGCTTTGATGGAGGAGGTGTTCGCGGGCGGTATCAAGTTGAGTTGCTAAACAGAATTGTAAAGCAGCAAGAATACGCTCGTTTGCTCGAGACCGTCGATTTGCTCGCGGGAACATCCACCGGGGCGATCATTGCTTGTGGCTTGGCGTGTCAAATGACTCCAGGTGAGATCTGTGAGCTCTATAAGGAGCTTAGTCCGCAGATCTTTGGTAAACCCCGGCATATGATTCGCAAGTGTTCATTGTGGTTTCCAAAATATTCAATGAAAACTCTTGAGAAGTCTCTGCGAAAATACTTTAAGGACATGACGCTTGGGGATTGTTCAATGCGATGTTTGATTTTCTCAGTGTCGCTTGTAACGCGTTCTCCGAGGCGTTTTTATTCACATGATGGGAATGATCAAGAACTGTCGATTGTTGATGTGCTTAAAGCGTCGTGTGCAGCACCAACTTTTTTTTCGCCGGTGACTTGTGAATATGAGCTTCACGTCGATGGTGGTCTGACTTGCAATAACCCTTCGAATGAGGCGATCGAAATGGCAATGA